AAGACAAGATAAAATAGCTTAACAGAAGATTTCAAAGAGTAGCTCCAGAAGACAAAGTCAATTATTATAATGAAATGTGCAAAGACCCGGAGTTAGAAAACTAAAAGGTAAGAATACACTCGGCATTTATCAAGGTGAAAAAACTGAAGAAGAAAAGATTTCATCCTTGAGTTGCAATACTGAAACATTCCATGGGCAATATACTGAATGATGCAGGAGGCATCAAAAGAAGATGGAAGGAATACAGTGTCACTGTACCAAAAAGAATTAGTCGATGTTCATCCATTTCAGGAGGTGACATCCAATCAAGAACCAATAGTACTGAAGGAAGAAGTCAAAGCTGCACTGAAGGAACTGGTGAAAAACAAGGCTCCAGAAATTGACGGAATACCTGACATGTTTCAACAAATGGATGCCATGCTGGAGGCACTCACTTGACTCTGCCAAGAGGTTTGGAAGACAGCTACCTGGCCAACTGACTGGAAGAGATCTATGTGTACCCAGTCCAAAGAAAGTGATTCCACAGAATGTGGAAATTATCAAACAATATCATTAATATCACATGCAAGTAAAACTTACTAAAGATAATTCAAAAGTGGTTGCAGCAGTATATTGACAGAGAACTTTCAGAAATGCAAGCTGGATTCAGAAGAGGATGTGGAATGAGGGATATCATAGCTGATGTCAGATGGATCTCAGCTCAAAGCAAAGAATACCAGAAAGATGTTTACTTGTGTTTTATTGACTATGCAAAAGCTTTCGATTGTGTGGATCATAACAAATTGTGGATAACATTGAGAAGAATGGGAATCCCAGAACACTTAATTGTACTCATGAGGAACCTGTACATAGATCAGGAGGCTCCTGTTCAAAGGGGGATAATGCATGGTTGAAAATCAGGAAGGCAGTGTGACAGACAGAGTTGTATCCTTTCACCATACTTATTCAATCTGTATGCTGAACAAATAATCCAAGAAGCTGGACTATATGAAGAAGAACATGGCATCAGGATTGGAGGAAGGCTCATTAACAACCTGCAATACACAGACGACACAACTTTGCTTGCTGAAAGCAAGGATGACTTGAAGCACTTACTGATGATGATTACTGCAGTATGGATTACACCTCAATATAAAGAAGACAAAAACCTTCACAACTGGACCAATAAGCAGCATCATGATAAATGGAGAAAAGATTGAAGTTGTCAAAGATTTCGTATTACCTGGTTCCACAATCAACACCAATAGAAGCAGAAGTCAAGACATCAGAACATGTACTGCATTGGGCAAATCTGCTGCAAAAGCCATCTTTCAAGTGCTGAAGAGCAAAGATGTCTCCTTGAAGACTAAGGTTCACCTAATCCAAGCCATGGTATTTTCAATCGCCTCATATGCATGTTAGAGCTGGACAATGAATAAGGAAAACCAAAGAAGAGTTGATGTTCTTGAGTTGTGGTGTTGGCAAAGAATACTGAGAGTACCATGGACTGCTAAAATAACTAACAGATCTGTCCTGGAAGTAGTACAGCCAGAATGCTCCTTGGAAGCAAGAATGACCAGACTTTGTCTCAACTACTTTGGTTATGTTGTCAGAAGGGACCATTGTCTGGAGAAGGATATCATGCTTGGTAAAGTGTAGGGTCAATAAAAATGGGAAAGGCCCTCATTTAAATGGACTGACACAGTGGCTGCAATGATGGACTCAGATATAGCAGGGATCACGAAGCTGGCACAGGACCAGGCAGTGTTTTATTCTGTAGTACATAAGGTCACTATGAGTCAGAGACGAATCAATGGCACCTAACAACAACAACAATTTTCATCTCTGCTTAGCCCATGTCTTGATTTTGTTTTAAAGTATTTTCTAAAGAAAAATTGAGAACTACTAACTATAACAGCAGCAAACAAAATGCACAATAGAATTTCATTATTATTATAGTATACTCAAAATCTATAAAATATTCAGAACTGGCATATATTTGACATAGTAATTTGTATTCACACCTTGTAACTACATGATAAAATTCACACTTCAGAAACTGTACAATCTTTAAGTCCTAAATATAGATCATTTATTGTCCTTTTCTAAATTTCACTGATCTTGAGTGTAAAACTCCTAAAGCTAAAAATAGCGAAGAAAAGAAAAAAAAAAAAAGCTATTCCATGTCTTTTCCCAGAAACTCCCCTTTTAATATTAATTCTTAAATCATTCAAAATCATCTACAATTTTTTAAAAAAACCTGTCTCCATCAGTGAAGATTTTAACTTTATATCAAACAAAGCTCATCTGCTTTTTATCTGAAACCTGCTCCTTAAATTTTCTTGTAGCTGTTTATACGAGTGGCTAGATGGGTGGACAAGCTGAACTATTAGGTATGTCTATGAAGCAGGGAGTGTACTCAAGACAATATATAGGGTTGGCAGACAATGGTCCTATAAGTGTATTTGTATGATCTGAATTCTCAGGTATATAGTATAGCTGACAAGGGACAAAGTTGTAGTCACTTCTTGGTTACAGCCAGCTACCCAGAAGGACCGAGTAGTTGAACCTATGGGCTCGGGACTATAGTCACAGGGGACATCAAGCTCAATTGGCATAACATACTACACAAAACATTGTTCTACCTCCTACTTTGGCGAGTAGCAACTGGGATCTTAAAAGCTTGCAAGCATCCATCGAGATGCAACGATGGGTCTCTCCTCGTCCAGAGAAAAGAAGAATGAAGAAAACCAAAGATTCATGGAAACAATTAGTC